GCTCGGTTTTTGCCCCCTCCCCCAGCCCCAGCCGCTGCTATCCCCTACCTCCTTCCCTACAACCAGCCACCGCTCCAGTTTCAAAAATTTGGAATTTTCAAATTTCCAGCAGGTGCTCGGTCCTGAGGATGCCAGAATTATGAAGTTACACTGTAGGTGTCTTCATAGGCCATACATCCTGGTCTTTCCATTTCACAGAAACTACTAAAACATATATTGTTTTAGTAGTCTCCCACAATATTGGGAGATGAATGGACTGTAAAGTGGACAGAAAGCTGGCTGGATCATCAGGCTCAAAAGGTAGTAATCAGTGGCTAGATGTCTAGTTGGCAGCCAGTATCAAGTGGAGTGCCCCAGGGGTCAGTCTGGAGGCCAGTTTAGTCAGTAGTTTCATCAGTAATCTGGAAGATGGAATGGCGTGCACCCGCACCAAGCTTGTGGCTGACACCAAGGGTGCAATATACTGGAGGGTACAACTAGGATTCAGAGTGATCCAAATTGGAGGACTGGACCAAAAGGAATCTCATGAAGTTCAATAAGGACAAGTGTCAAACTTAGGACAGAACAATCCTATGTACTGATACAGACTGGGGATGGACTGGCTAAGCAGCAGCTCTGCCGAAAAGGACATGGAGGTTGCAATAGACAATAAATTGAATATAAGCCAACATTGTACCCTTGTTGTGAAGACTTACTGGGCTGCATTTGTATGACTGGTTAGCAGATCAAGGGTAGTGATTATTCCTCTCTATTTGGCACTGGTCAGGCCATAAATTAAGTACTGAGTCCAATATGGACTTCCTATACATGAGACACAGGAGGCTGCTGGAGTGCAGTAAATGCCACGCTATAGCAGACTCGATTAACTGAGTCTGCTCTAATGTGCTGGAATGACAGTGTGTCGGAGCAGCCTCCCTGCTCATGTATGGCACCCGATGACCTTCTGACCTTCCAACCCTAATTTTCTATGATTCTATGATTTATTAGAATCAGAAATTCACCTAGATATTTATAATACAATCTTCCTTTTATATGACATCCCTTAAGCCTGTTTATTTTTGCATAATTATGCAATACATATGCCTATGTCTGTACTGTATATGTCCATTTCTTTTGACCAACAGTATATAAATAATCCTTTGTAAGATTATTTACACATATATGGGCATCAGCCCTGTACAGCAAGATAGCTGATAAAAACTGAAAATTAGAAATGGCCTAAATAAATAAATAAATAAATAAATATATATGAACAAAACACTTGAAAAATGACAGTTCTTTGAATTTGCTATGTTTAATATTCACTACATACTTACCAGCCTGGCCAAGTTATAACATGGTCATTCTTCTCTAGCAAACACCAATTTCAAAGATTGTGTCACAGCCTTACTGCACTATAATTACACACATTTTCCTTTATTGTGGGAAGCTAGATTGAAATTATAGGCCTCTGTACCTTTTTGGTTTCTTCAACTTTATATATAGTAATAGTGTTGTATAGTTTTTGTACCAATTCAGGTTAGTAAACTTTGCAACATCTACATGAAACTGTCCCGTTTTCCTCCTATGTGACATCACTAATGGAAAACCCAACATGGATTTTCTCAAGATAGTTACCAAAATATGAGAGTATAACTTCTGTGCATGAAGGAAGGCAAATCTCTTTTGTCCTATAGATAAATGCCTTTCACACCAGAATGTAGCAAAACATTATGGAAATTTAAAATACTGACAATGAATAAATATTCTCGTTAGAAAATGTTTGAGAAGCTTCCAATTAAAGTTAAACTGTGCTAATCCTTTACTAGTATCTAACACAGGGGGAAATAAAAGTTATAAAACAATAGGGTTACAAAAATTCTAATTGTGGGTGTTTCCGTGGCTTAACAAGGCTTCAGAATGCAAAAAGCATGTCTTGCTTTTCTGTATTTTCAACAAAACTAACCAGAACTCATTTCTAAGGAGTCCTCAGATTCACTGTTCTCAGTATAGTATTTATATATCTGTAAAAATTGATATTGTACTGGAATAATCATTTCTTGAGCTTTATAGAATCAAGAGAAATATATACTCACTTCATTTCTAGTATTTCTTCAAGCTGTTTTCTCCGCTCTATTCTTAGGTTGGCCAGATGTGCTTCCTTCTCAGCCAGAGACTGCTGTGTTGATGAAAGGCGAGCTTTGGTAGAATCCAGTTCTTGCCTGGTCTTTTCCAGTGCATTCATCAATTCTTCTACCTGAAAAGCCAACACTATATGTTTCACATTCTTCAAATCAAGCAAACATTTTGTTAAAGGGAAAAAAATCACAGGACTTAGTATAAGCAGTGGCAGGGAGGGGGTTATTACCAGTATTTTTTCCTGGTAATAAAGTTCTTAAGAGCTAAGAAAAGATTAAGTTGCCAATCGGCCATCTAGTCACAAACAACATTTATACAAACCAAAGAACTAATGCAATTTAGCAGACAGCCATTCAACTAGTCCCATGTAAAAGTACAATCTGTAAATACTTTCTGCACCATTTATGCTACAGAAGTCATGAGTCTATTCTAGTAACTTCAGAGTTCAGAATTGGACATTGAATCCATTATAAACTGATCTTGACAAACCACAATTTTTTCTTCCAAAACATCTCCTTTCAGTCTGAAATCTTTCATGGTGGTTGTTTTATGTTCTAAGTTCACCAAACAATGGCAGACTTAGAGGCTTGTTACATATTAATTTTAGGCAACTCCTGGAGCTCTTAACCTCTGGACTGTCCACACATTAATACCTGAAACTAGTTTTAAGCATGCTTTAGGCTGCTTCAGTTATGGCACTCCAGGGCAGGTTTATCTCTGATCCATGTTACTAACTCATGTTCCATTAATGTGGGGCCGTTCCCTACCGATGAATTGCCCAAGTTGCAGTCCACCAGCATCCCAGCATGCAGCATCCTCTCCCCCACCCTCTTGTTCTATGTGGACAAACTTTCCACCCCCTGAGCTGTACTGCCAGAGGGTAGTTCTGGTACCAAGTCAACCACCATCCTGACCCCTGGGGTGTGACCTTCCCATCTCCAGGGGTGCAACCCTGTGCAAATAAACCTGAATGTGCCAGATAGCCAGGTTGCAGGGCACAGAAGGGTCCAGGAGTGAAGTCTATGAGGATGGAGAGAACAGAAACAAGGTAGGGGGTCAGACCAGGTCCTCATGAACTGGAGTTTCCAGGTGCAGTAACTTCCCCAAAAAGTGCCTTATCTCATCACTCCTACCCACCAGCCACCCCAGAAAGCAAGACCAGCACCCCCTATGCCCCGTCCCAATTTATTACAATATGAGACCTTCTTTAATTTACTTCCTCTTTCTTTCTTTTCAAATTCTTTGTTTTCCTCTTTTTATTTTATCCTTCAGAAGCTGACTTCTTCCTTCATCTCACCATACTTCCCCATCCACATTTTGTTTCCACCTCCCATTTTCTTACCCACCCCTATCCCACTTTAACTCTCTGCCTCCCACCTTCATGTTCCTGTTCCCCACAACCCAACTCTTATACCCCTCCGCTAGGGCAGGATAGAAGCCTGTCCTGGCTCACCAGCCCTCTAGTGGCAAGTCACAGCTGTGCAGGTGGAGAACAGTTTCAGAGAAGGATTTTAGCCTTAATATGTGACTACTCCAAACTCAGACTAGGACTAACACTGGTTGACAATTGAGCAGTTCAAAGTGCAATGTGTAGCAATGCCCTTACATGTTATGTTACACTGGTAGGAACCTCTGATATGGGTTCAGAATATGGAGAACTGGGGAGACTGGGGTGTGTTATGACACGTGTGTGCTCCAACCTTAACTAGGGAGCTTCTTATGATTTAATACTGAATGCAATTTTAAATACAGTTGAGGTATTTTAAATGTATAAAATGTACTTAAAGCCATGAATCCATCTTAGTGAATTTGGTTTGGTAGTACTCAGAAATGAAATGCACTCAGGATGAATTGCTTAGGGATTCAGAAAACTCTCAAGACACCACTAGAAAACAAAAGTTTGGCAAGAAAAGGTGTTCAGATGCCCAGTGAAGGTGAAGAATATACCAGTAAGCCTGAATATTCTAGACGACTCAGACGACTCTATCCACAGTCCCAGATTACTCAAATAAATGATTCAGAACATTTTTGCTAAAGATAATCCTTCCTGAGCAACACCAAAATCTATAGGTCTCCTTCAGCTGGTCTGTGGCCATTTCTATCACTCAGTGAACAGCTTGTCTACTTGTAATAGTGTTGATAACATAATATACTGTATAGTATTCTCCATATCACAACATTCATAATGTATACAACCTAGGGACGTAACAAACTTTAATTATTTTTAAGGAATCTATCCTGAACAGTAGGTCACAGGTTATTTCCTCAGGATCCAATTAATATTATGTTTCTGGATAAATACATTTTCTTTGTTCCCTTTCTCCTCTCACCAAAAAATTACAATTCTACAAATTGGTCAACAGTAGAAGGGAAAAACCCAATGCACTGCACGTGGGAAGGCAAATAGGACTGGTAAAGGACCAGCTGGATCACATATAAATTGCCCTCTTCCTTCTAAGCTACCATGTTAACAATGCTATGGAAGTCAAGTAAAAATGTTTGCTTTTGCTGGTCTATGGAAGTAGACTGAGAGAATTAATCTGCGGTCATTCAATCAGCTTCTCTGTAGAGAATATAAGATACTTCCTAAAGTTCGTGGTTAATTATTGCTTGTCCCCTTGTTATTATCTAAAACCCACTAGCAGCCAATCATTACATGTCCATATTTTCATTTTCAAGGTGAACATATATAACATTGCTTGCCTCTCTCAAACCAGCTTTGTGAAATAGAAAAATACTATATATATTATTCAAATACTTATCAGATGCTGCAACAAATTCCTTCTACTACACCTACTGCTTCTACTACACCTTCTACTGCACCTACTGTACAGCCATTTTCTATTGACACACAAACAACTGCATCTTCCCACCCTACCTAACAGAATTGGTGCCAATCATGCCATTGATTGTGTCTATCTGTAGGACCAGGCCTTTAGATAGTTTTGAAAAATCTAGCCTTTTAAAGTGAGTACTTCCAATGAAAAAATATACTAGGGGAAAACACATACAGGAAAAGAGAGAATATATGCACTAAGATCTACAGAAAAAATGAAAAGTGAAAAAAGCAAAACTAAGGAAAAGGTGAGAGAGACATGGCCACATTCAATAGTTCAATAATTCAACAGTTGAAAATGTCAATAAATTACAATGAAAATACAATAATGCTTTTTTGCCTGTATATTCATATATAAATACTACCTCCTAAGAGCAAGCTAGCCTTATATAAAACTTTATATTTTAATAAAATTATTCTACAACCTCATTGTTAAATTTCTTTAAGACCATCATACAATTTTAATAACACAATGCATATTCATACAGTCATGTAATTCAACCTCCAATCTATTACTTAAGTCTAGGAGCATCTGTTAATAAAAACACTGATAAAGACTCAGACCTGTAAACTGACCCACATGTGTGGATCCTAGCTTCAAGACAGCTTCATCAAAGCCAATGTCACTCTGCAATTGCAGACCTGCATGCAAGATGAAATCCTAAAATAACACCATCCCTTCTACATTTTTAACATTTGTCTTTTCCTTAAACATTAGTCAGATTTATGCTGTGTGTTGACAGACTAACACCAAGTCTTGCACAGAATAGATAATTTACATTTTTAAAGCATGTGAAGTGCTCACTATTTTCAAGTTCTAATGCTCTAAACCATTTTTATTTGTTTTTTAACTTTAGGGAATTAAACAAATATAGGTGCAACATATTTATGTATAGCCAAACAGAAGAGAGCCATTTTACAGGAAGAAAGAAAAACTAAATTTAAAAAAAGTTGAAAACCACAAATCATGAACATATTTAGATGTGAACATAACATATGCATTTAAATTTTAAACACAATGGGTATGTCCCCATGAGCGGGAATGTATGTTTCCCTGGGGACAAACAGCAGCAGCACAAATACATGCTGGGAAATGCCCATGCACATGTTCTGGCATGCAGCACATTTGCCCCAGGGGGTGTAGGGGAGGCTGGGGCCAGCAAATTAGCAGCATAGGGACTGCCTGCATGTGCAGTGCATGCAGTGTCTGGCGCTGCAAATGGATCTGCAGTGCCACATACTGCATATCTGTACCAATGCCCAATACGTACAAACTGTCTCTTGTCCATTCTTCTGCCAAAACCCATGTTCAGGGTCATGTATTTCACTAGCTAATGATCTCACAAGCAAATTATACAGCAGCAGATAAATCTGATTGGCAGGCAGGCAGGCAGGCAAGTATAGAAGCATTTTCAGATATGGTTAGAAAATGTAAAATGTGTATGATTGCTCATGGCACAATAACAATCACTTTCTATGTTATATTTATTCACACACATTAAAGTCATTATAATCAATCACAATGTTAGGTGTTAGGCAAATTTAACTATAGGCATTGAATCTATATCAAATGTGTTGAAAGGAAAAGAGCTGTAGCCTAAATCACTGATACCTGTTCACTACCTGATGCTGGGGTCCAAGGACAACCAAGTATATTAAGGGTAAGATGTAACAGAAAATTTGTAACCCAAATTGTAGTTGTGTGCATAAACCCAAAATAATGACAAAGTGTTATTATTGAATCTCAGCTTTTGCATTTTGCCAAATATGGCCTTCCTTTGCTGTTTCAACCCTGCTGCCATACAGGAATGGAGCCCTAAGGAATCTTTTCCTCCATTCCTGCAACAATATTATCTTGATAGAATTTTTTCAGCTTCCCCTTTACCTAGGAAAAGAAACTGAGAGAATAGTTTCATACTGTCCAAACGGCGCCTTCACATATTTTTATGCATCTCTATAAAGCATAAGAGAAAGGTTGCATTGAAGTATATTATCTGCAATTTATCTGGTTTATGAATCCAGTCAAACCATTTATCACTTCCGAACCGAAGTGTGCATTCTACCCTTGCATTAACAGGATAGTCTCTTTACGCATAATTACAGGAGAATCTCTCTCAGAGTTACTATTACTTATAATAATCCGGCAGTATTTTAAAGGATTTTAATTATCTGCTGAAAGCAACCTATGCTAATCTTATTTTTCCAGTTATTCCTATTATGCAACATTTCTACTTTTATCTCTTTTCTACCTTACATTTCTTCAGCATCACTGCCTTACAGTG